GGCAACTGGGAAGGTTGTAGTTTAAGATCTAAACAGGAAAGCAGTCAGGAGAGGGCGTCTTCTCTTTTGGCCCTCTTGTCGTAGATCAGCGTCAGCACGTTTGCAGTGTCCTTCAGCAAAGCGTCAAAGATGCTGTCTGCCAGCTGCATCTTGACAAACAGCTCGTCCTCGTCATAGTTGACCCACTGGGCTTCCTCCTCATGGAGTTCCTGAACCTGAGAGACAAACACAGTGACTAGTATCAGTGGGTTGTATTGTAATGAGTCATGTGAAAACATTTCTTGGTTTCAAGTTTTAATTTAATCCGTTTAAAAAAAAATCAAAAAAAAAAATCACTCATTCACAATTTCAGGGCTGGGTGACTGTAATCTATAACCAACTCATGTAACATCCTGTTATTCTGAAATAAAGTCAAATTGTTTAAATAATAAGATCTGCTCAACACACTGTTGTACTTGTGTGTGGAACTCTATGGGGGCAAGTCGAGGGGAACTATCCTGCTGACAATTGTTTTAGCCAGATACAGTTATACTTCCAGTAAACATAAGTAAAGGCTGGAGTTCAAATTCTAATGTGTCAACCTTAAAACTTCAAAAGATGAACCTTTCATAAAGCTGCTGTTGCCATCGAGCAAATAAACAAATGAATTCTAATATTATCCAAAAGAAGAAAAAAAAAAAACAGCTCATGTCTCACAGGACAAACAAGGACAATTGCTGTTTGTTTGTATTTAACTTCTAAAAATTATACAATCAAATCAACTTCCTACTATATATATTAGGTGTTCAGACAGAATAATGTAATCCCTGATATGAAACTACTGCCATTTAAAAACCCCCCCAAACATCTACTTTGAGACCTACCAGAATATGATCGACTCTGTCTCGCTTCTTTTTGCCAAATTTGAGCATCTTCTGCCAGTCGGTCTTCTGGCTGTGATCCTTCGTCAGACCATACAGTTTCAGCACTTCTGCTGAGATGAATTCCTGGGACACAATGTAAAAACACGACGTCATCAGGTGCGTAAAAGGCACTAAACTGCATTTGAATTTGTAAAGGTGAGGACTTTATTTTTTTACTGCACTCCATAAAACTTGCAGATAGCCTCTGTGAATTAACAAAGCCAAATTGTGAAGTTCGTTTACACTTCCAGTCACTTTGGAAGATTAAAAAACAATACTCTCACTTACCTAGCTGTCTTTACAGTACGGCAATACGAATGTTAAAATACAGCAGGACTGAGTAAAAAGCCAGTGTGTTTGTCTGAGCCGGGTTCTTTCTGTACCTGGATTTTGGTGAGGTCTCCTGGTGTCTTCACTCTGTGGAAGGAGGACTTAACTCTGCGTGGTTTGACCCACTGAGGCTGATCGGCGTTGGGGTCGTCAGTATAGATCTCCTGAAGCATCTCCCACGTCAGGTCATACACAGCCTGGGGAGAGACAGAAAGTAATGAGATAGCGTGTCAATATGTCAGAAAATAGTTACTGCTCAACAGCTCTTTGCTTTTAAAGAAAAGTGTCAAACCAAGTGAGACAATATCTGAAGCAAGAGTCCGACATTTGTCAGTAGCAGAGGGATCTCTAGTAAGACAAAGGCAAGTGAAATAGCTGTGTAGTCCTGAAAACATCATGCTAATAAGAGAGGAATCTGCTGAATAATGGAAACTCGTCTGCCATTTAACCTGAGTGAACTCACTCAGAGTAAGTGCTGTTGGCTTAGTGCTACAGAAGCAGTGGGACAGTTGTGTGCTGATTTTCTCCAGCATTATTGGTCGGGGAGTGAAAAGGAAGTCAAGGATGCTCGTCTTACTTCTCTTCTAGCTTACAGATTGTTGTGCGATACACTTGCATTCATTTTTTTCAGTGGGCTAATCTATATGGTTTTTGTTATACTTCTTTTTTTTTTTTTTTTTTTTAATGTTTTGCAAGTCTCCTTTTCACCTTTCTGTAGCTGTGGAGGCAGAGGGCCTCCGGGTCCTGGCTGCTGGCGTCTTTACCCAGATACTCTTGTGAAGGTTTGGGGATTGGCAGCTGTGACACGGTCAGAGCTCCCTCCTTCCCCAGGCCACAGCTCTCCCAGATCTCCTGAGTGGCAGCGTGGACCATCTTCTCCACCTCTGTGGCGGAGTGGGGCACAACCATGGCAGGCTGCTCGGGTAGTTTAGGGGGCAAGGGGAGAGGTAGCTCAGGTCTAGGTGGAGTCTTAGCCTGCTGTTCCCCGCCTGAGGATGAGACCAGCCCCCCCAGCCTCCCTTCCTCCCTCTGTTGGAGTCTCTGCTGTTCTCTACGAGAGCTGAGGCCAAAGTCCTCATCAAACCAGTCCTGATCGTCACCCAGCTCCTCCAGCAGTTCACGGCTCAGTTCCAGCTCTGCTAGTCGCTTGGCGAGCTCCTCCTGACCACTGGCCCCCAACACTGGACTCTCCTGTTGGGAAAGAAATACAGGAAAAAGTGAATTTCATGCTCATTTCCTATTTCAGGTAATAACCTTCCATACATGTGAACATCTAACCGCACCACAACAGAACAAGTCCCATAATAAATGATTATTTTACACGTTTGTTTTAGTCTTTAAGAATATTCTTTCTTACTGATGTCTTAAACACAAAAGGTTTTCTGCAAAGCGCACCAAATTCAATAAAGTCAGTCAACATAAAGTTGGACTTTGGCTGAGCGCAAACAGAAAACAAGGACTCTGCAGGTCGAATCAATAAGTACTGTTTGTCAGTATCATGATCATGTCAATGCTGGTGTTTCCACAGTCCAATCGTGAACAGCACAATCATATTTAGAGGGTTTTTTGGAAGATTTAGTAACAAGTCAGTAAAGAATCAGAAACGTAGACTCACCGGTCGGTTACACAGCTCTGGAGAAGACAGCTCTTCTTTTTCTGTAGGTAGGAAGAAGGGAAGGTCGTCTTTTTGTTGCACTGAAGGGAACCATTCTTCTTGTTCAATATTTTCACCAAACAGGTCTCCATTCATCTGGTTGGCAGCTTCTATCTTCTGCTCTTTGGCCTTTTTAATCTCAGTAAACTGCGCCAAAGTGTCTTTCACAACGTTGTTGAGGAGCTTGTCTGCGAATGTGTCCAGTACGTCCTTCTGTTCTCTCTTGACGTCCCTGATATCTGGAGAAAGATCTGCAGGACCCAGCTGGTGATTTGAGTCTACATCTTCTCTCTCAACAAGGGAAGTGATGTCCGTCCGAGTCTGCTTCCCCAGGCCAATCGTGTCCAAGTCAGAGATGAGGAGGGTGGTTGGTGCATCTTCAAAATCCAACATTATGTCCTTAGTGTTGCCATTAGAAATGGGAGGCTGGGATTCTTTGTAATGGTGCGAATTGAGGTGGGATCCGGTCTTGTGAACGGACTCGTCTGTTATCTTTTTATCTCCAGACTTATAGACCTTGTTCGATGTTTCTTCATTTTCACTCTTCAGCTGTCCTTGTTTTGGGGATGTGTGCTCATCTGTTGTACGTTTATCCCCACCTTTATCCGACAGACCACCAAGGAACGAGTCCTCATCCTCCGTGGTGTCTGTGTAGATCTCAAACTTGTCTGGCAGGTGTGTAATCTTGTCCGGAGGAGCAAAGATGCCATGGCTCTCATCACATTCAAAGTATATCACCCCATCGTAAGTGCCGTTGTTGCTCCCCTCAGACTTATCCAACTCCACGCCAGCCCAGAAGCCGTTAGCAAAGCTGGTTGGACCTTTGAATCTCAGGGTGCCAGGCTGGACGCCGCCAACAAGAACTCGGTCTGCGATGCTAAAACTTGGCATTTCATCTGCAACGGGCAAAGCGGGTGGCGAGTGGCTGGAATTAACAACATCCTTGCCGTCATGTTTGGAGTCTTCTGTGTGGTTTTGAAGATCCAGCAGTCTCGTAGAATGGTGGCTGGCTCCACTAGTCCCTGAATGGTGACTCAGCTCTTCAGCTATTTCCTCCTCTTCCTCCTCATCATGGCTGTCATAAGGTGTGGCTCTGCTACGGGAGACCTTGATCTCTGTAGGGGAAACTGAGATTTGAGAGGCAGGTGTCGGACTATGACGCACCTCTCTGGGTGAAGAATCCACTGAAGACTCAAAGTCATCATGATAACCATCTACAATAGGAGAGGAGCCCTCGACATCCTTTATGGGCGCCTCCTTCTTTGAAGAGAAGGCAACAGAGTTGGGAGAGCAGGACCGGTCACTGGATGCAGCCGAATGTGACTTGTTAGAGGAGATAATATTTGATTTTACAGCTTCTTCAGCTTCAGATGTTTCCTTCGTCTCTATTTTCTTATCCTGTTCTACGCTAACAGATGGAGAATGACGATGTTCGTCGCTCATGTGAGAGGAAACATGTTTGGATGCAGACAGCTTCTCTTGGGAGTCGAGTCGGTGTTCCTTTTCCAGTTTGAGAAGACATTCAGACTGTTCTGATGTGGAGCTTACTTCCACCTCCAGCTCATCCTGAATGTCCGCTCTTTGATAGGACACAACGTTCTCATCCCCAATCATCTGTGCCTGGGCTTCCTCAGAGGAAGGTCTTAAAAGTTCCTCTGTGGACAGGCGGCTCCTCGGTCTGGAGGGCGGACACTCTGGGCTGCCATATACCGGGGTGGGAGTGACTGTCGGTGGGTCCTCATCAGACATTTCTTCAGGCACTGAGGTGGATCTACTATGATCAACTTGAGGTAGGGCATCTGTAATAATAGGAAAGGGTGACATTATCATTGGAACATCTGCGTAAAAAAACCCATTTAAAATTACATATTCATTATGAAGATTATATCACTCACTGTGATCCAATGAAGCATCACTTTGCGTCCTTTGAGAGATTTTGCTGGTTTCAGACCTGAGAAAGAAGGATTTGCTTTTAATTGAACACCAATCTTTTTCAAACTCATATTCTAGTATAAGATGTGTTGTCATGTTTACAGCTGTTTTTGGTACCCGTGAGCAGGTGGTTTAATGCTGGTCTGCTCTGCGATTGAGGTGGAATCTTTGATCTGGGACTTTGTATCAGGTGTGGAGTCTGGCTCCTTTTTCAGTTCTGCCTTAGTTTTCTCAATGAAGTTATTATAGCTCTGAAAGGAAAACGGGAGAATAAAAGTTAAGATATGAAGGAATCTGCTTACAGTATGTAGATCAAAACACATTCACACACACTAACAATCACATAATCATCCACGTTTGTTTGGATGTTCAAACTACATTTGAACATTCAATCGAATAACTATCTCGAAGCACGCACGCACGCACGCACGCGCACACACACACACACACACACACACACACACACACACACACACACAC